CTTTCATTCTCTCTTCTGTCCTAAAACCTGGATAACAGCATGTCAGTATGAGGTTGATGCACCAGAGGTTTGCCTTGGTGTAAAATGCAACTCAGACGATGAGGTCCTGACACCTGGATCATATATTTCTTCACCCTCCCCATGCTGGACTGTGTCATTATATGCTGCACTGTACATGTTGCTGGATCTCTTGGCTGGGTTATCTGGAGCTCAGGCAGAGGCCCTTGGACTGGGAATATAGTTGGTGGTGTGCCCAGTGTCCCTCAGGTGGGGGTTTGTTAAAGGTTGCATCTGGCCGAATTACCTTTCTCGAGTGACCATTGCCCCTCGGGAATACCACCACCGCCCACCCCACCCCAACCTGCTGGGATCTTGCCACCTTCTTGATAAGTACAATATCTGCACAGGGTGTATCTCAGGGTGGTTGTTTTTTTCACAAAGCTGTGTGGAAACGAAGGGCGTCAGAGCCCTGTTTGTCTTCCTCCTGCACAGCTGTCTTCACCAATGATCCTTGACAATGAGAGAGAGGGAGTGTCTGGGGAGTGGAGGTGGGAGATTCTGGTCCCAGTCTCCGGGGCCCTGCAGCTCCCTTCCTAATGTTAGAGCCACCCCCCTCTCCTGCTCTCTTTCTGTAATTTACCTCACGAGGGTCTTCTAAGAACAGAGTGAGGAGAAGGCGAGTGTTTGCACTGCCTTGACTTTACTGGTGGGATAAAACAGCCGTGAAGAAATTAATCATGCAGTTGCACAGTTTTACATCCAAGAGATGGGTTTGGAAACAGCCTATTTCAAATGTTGTGTTGCTTTACAGAACACATGCCAAAAATTCCTGGCCTGCCAGGAAAAGAAGCTACCGGCACCACCTCCGTTCTGCCTCCACTGGACTTTAGTGACAGCGACAGCGATGATGATTCTGTTTTTGTCAGAAGTACACCGAGGGCAGGACCCAAAGGGAGGCAGCTGGGCAGTCAGCCACCGATGTGGAGGAGTGGGCACCCAGCCTCTTCCCAGGAGGGTCCCACGACAGCCAGGGATGGCTTGGCCTCTTCTGCAAGTGAGGGAGAAGGAGGTGCCACCAGCAAGCGCCCTCAGGCTAGAGGGGCAGCAAAGAGCTGGCAGCCACGAACAAGCCCCGTGCTGGCATCGAGCAGCTCAGAGGAAGAGGTGGACAGCCTTGCTGAGCGTGTGAGGAAGAGGATGGGCTTTCCTCCAGACAGGAGGGGCACAAACCGGAAAAGCACGACCGGTAAGAGAGAGAGCTCCCCTCCTGCCATGCTGAGTTCTTTGCCACGATTAATGGCTGGACAAAATTGTTTTGGTTTAAGGGAAAGAAGCACGGAATTGTTCTGTGTATTCTAAACAAGAGAGAGTCACCAGCCCCTCAAGGAAAAACGGCTGCCCCCCCCCCAGTCTGACCAGGGAGAGGAACAAGGAGAAGGTAGCTGAGGAGACCGCCTCCTCCTCCTCCTGCGCGGCCCGCTTCCTGAATGTCCCGAATTCGCACAAAAGCAGAGCCATGGGAGGGGAGGCCTTCCCTGGAGCTTCTGCGACGGGCTGTCCGTTCGTCCGTCCGTCTTGGGCAAACAAGGTTGGTTGCGGGGAGGTGTTTGTGTGAATGAGAAGGTGGGAAGCAAAGTGTGCTCCAGGCTTCCTCCTCCGTTTCTTCATGCAGGCGATGAGGAACAATTCCCAACAGAATGGCTTGCTTTCAAAAGCCATTCTCTTTGGTTGTCCAGTTGCAGAGACAATGATATGTAGGGTTTTCTGAGCTTGACCAGACCTCCCAGGTCTTAACAGGGATCCTGCTTCCCTGTTGAGCAGTGAAGCCAGCGGTGAGAAAGCCCTGCGGCTGAGGCCAGGGCCACGGGGGGAACCACTGTGCAACAGGAAGGTTAAGGATCTGCTGTAGCATAGCCGTAACCTTCTTTCATCTTTCTAGGATGGAAGGAGTCTTTCTAATTCAGTTGGATTCCCTAAGCATAGATTTCCATATCCTGCTCTAGAGGCAGATACTTCAGCTGCTCATCTCATCATTATGAACCTGTTAAGAGGTCTTGGTAAGAATACCAATTTCTACAGAAGCCATGACAGGAACTCGGGAGAGGACATTTGTTCTGTGTGGCTTCCAGACTTACAAGGCAGTCCCCTCAAAGCTGTGATCATATTCCATTCTTTTTTTAAAAAAAAGAAGGATGTAAAAACACGTTTTTAAACCGGTGTATGATCTCTAACTTTAATGTAAACTTAATTACTTTTAATAGTCTTTATGGCAGTTTTGGTTCTGTTTGTTTGGAGCAATAGTGTGATTAGTTTTGTGAAGACTTTAAGCCACCTAGAGCTACTTTGTAAGCATAAGCATACCACGTATAGACATACAGCACATGTAAGTCATCATCGACATCACCTTTCTTCCAGCACTGCCTCCATTATCTGCTCCTGATGCACTGATTCCTGCTCAGGCTCCCAGGAAGTGCAAAGTCCTCAGTGACGTCACCCAGTCAGACTTGGCACAGAGGAGGTAGGTGGTTGCTTATGATGCTTTCCCTGTCATCTAATTGGCTGCGGCTCCCAAAGGGTTAGGGTGAGCGTGACATGGACCTGGAGGAATGGGGTCTCGCTGCTGCTACCATTCTTCATAGAAGAGAGCCATGATGAATTGTGTTTCTTCCAGGGGAATGTTTGACGTCCTTTCTAATAACGTTTGTGCCCCCCCCCCTTTCTCCATGGAGCTCAGGGTAATGGACATGATTTTGCCTCTTCCGCTTATTGGCTGAGACAGAAAGAGAATAATTAGCCCGTGACTGACAGTAACTTGAACCCTTTGCACCCCTACCCCCTGGCCTGATACCGCATTAACCACCATAGAATCATGAAGTCTGCAGGGGGCCTTTAAGGCCGTTGAGTTTAAACCCCTGCTCAATGCAGGAATACAAATCACATGAAATAACAGCTGTCCTCCCTCTACCTGGATATTCACAGGACAGGCAGGCATCCCATTCACTTATAACAAGATTTGAAATGGAAAAGAAGCAGAAACTAGCTTGTGTTCCAAAACGATTTTGATAAAGTCCTTTCCCAAAACATCTGAGTTGTGTGCAGTTAAGCTGACATCTTCCTTTTGTGGAATGACAGCTGTTTAAAGAAATGGAAGCAGTGTGTGGGAATAGAGGGTCACATCTTGAAATGAATAGATCTCTGTACTTGGGGGGGGTGAGACTCTTCTTCATTTGTTCATCAATGATCTGGAGAGGGTGGAGGGAGTGGTGAGGTGGCTAAGACTGCTGGGGCAATATGAGCTGGGTTTAGGAAAGCAGTGCTTAACCTAGGATAGGTAGGACTGCTTCAAATAAAGAGGAGCTAATAGAAATTTATGAAATACCAGATGTATTCAGAACAAGACAAACAGAAGAGTGGAAACACCAGTCTGGTAGCAACAAGCCAGAAACTGCATCAGCCAAAAGCCCAGTTCGCAAATGAATCATTGAAAAGGGAAAATCTAACTGAAACTTTTTTAAATTGATGATTTAACGTACTGGGTGGTGGAGGAGGATGTCTCAGAAGGCAAGAGGTTAACATTAGGTGGGAACTACTAGCTTGGCAAATGGCGAAGCAGCCTTGCAGAGGAAAGGAACAAGAGATGAACTTGTCAGACCCACTTAAAGAGGGCAGAGACTCTGAGAAAAAGGTTCATATCAGATAAGCATCCACAGAGATAAGGATCCCTATCAGATAAGCATCCTCTATTGCAGCCACAGAGAAAGGGTGGGGGAGTTTTCTTCTTTTTAGTTGCTTAGTTTTTTGACACAAGAAAGACTCGCCAGAGAGCAGGGAGAAAGCAAAATCCAAAGACCAAGGTCTTCCGAAGGCAGGACGGATGGGCATTAAGATCCACAGAGTGAGGTATGAGCCATGTCCTGAAGCAAGCTTTGAGGGCAAGGGAGAGCAGCAAGGAAACAACAGGGTCCATAGAACAATACAATCTAAGGAAAAACATGTAATTAAAATGACGGATAGCTTTAGAATAGTTTCATTGAATGTAAATGGACTGGGCTCGGTGCTGAAAAGATATGAGGTTATGGAAATAGTGAAATTATATACCCCGGATGTGTATAAATAGTGAAATTATACACCCCAGAATGCTACAAGAAACATGCCAAGGGGAGAAAATAAAAGAACCACTGAGATGTCCCTATTTTAAAGCTCGGTTCCCTTCCTCTGGGACATCAAACGCAAGAGGACCAGCAATTATCCTCTCCAACAATACGCTCCAGAAATAGCAGATGTCTTGCCAAGCCAGAATGGGAGAGTTGTGTTCATAAAAGCCCCCCGCCGCGCAAAAAAGAAACAGTAACACTTTGCGCCTACTATGTGCCAAAGAGCTCCAAAATCAATTTTATGAAAGATGTGATTGCTAAATTAGAACAATTTGCTGAAGGGGGTCTTGTCCTGAAGGCAGTGCAAGCGCAGTGTTCGATGAGGAACTGGATAGACGACGACCGGTGGGTCTTGCTAGACTGCCGAGGCGCTTGCCTAGCAGAAGGGATTCAGGGAATGAGGAGGGGGCTTGGTATAGGGGGGGTCACGTAGACCAGAAAGGAAGAGAATGGGCACAAGGTCCGTCAAGGTTTCAAACTAATCCCATATGGGTAAATGGCAAATTTGCAAACCCAGTTGGGCCGCTGGATAGCTCAGTGGTTTAAGGACCTGTCTGCGGAGCCAGAGGTTGGGGGTTAGGGTTGGGCTGGGTGATCCAGACACGGTCCCTTCCAGACCTTCTGCAGTTCTAAGATTACTACAGTACTTAATGTATAATGAATGCAGGAAGGATGACAATATCTGGCCGTGCCCCCTCTAGTGGTAAAATGGGGAACTGGTCACCCAAAAGAAGCTGATGGCCCACTGAGAATTTATAGGGGAAACAGGTATTAATTTGAATCAATTTTTTTTAAAAAAGCCCTCCACCTCAAATGTCAGGGTTAGGATTAGAATTGTTCCTGGGGCCACTATGAAAGTCATATGAAGAGGGCTTTCCTATAGTAAAGGTCAAGGGCTAACACAAAAAAGGAACTAGAACACAATTGTAACACAATTATAGAAATTCACAACACAGCATAAAAACTCAGAAGTCCTAAAGTTGGACCCAGAATTAGGAGAAAAGCTTGATTATTAGAATTTTTAAGATAAAGGTATAAAGAAACCATGATAAAAGTTGTAAAATAATACAGCTGCTTTTGTAGGGAAAATGTATGTAAAAAGCAGCCTTAGGAACATGTCTACCTACAGACTTGTAACCGGATTAGAAAACTGAATAGAAGGGAATTGGGGGGCGGGCGGAATCTCCTGGTTCAGAAGGACTACATCCTAGTTACCGAAGGAAGGAATGTGCAGATTTAATCTTAGCGCCTCTGTCTATAGTCTTTAGGTAAAGGTAAAGGTTCCCCTTGACATTTAGTCCAGTCGTGTCCGACTCTAGGGCGTGGTGCTCATCCCCGTCTCCAAGCCGTAGAGCCAGCGTTTGAAGACAGTTTTCCGTGGCCAGTGCGACTAGACACGGAACACCGTGTCGCACCAACGTGGTACCTATTTATTTATTTGCACTTTACATGCTTTCAAACTGCTAGGTTGGCAGGAGCTGGGACAAAGCGACGGGCACTCCCTCCGTGGTGTGGGTTTGATCTTACGACTGCTGGTCTTCTGACCGTGCAGCACAGAGGCTTCTGCGGTTTAACCCGCAGCGCCACCATGTCCCCCTCTGTAGTCTTTAGCAAGGCCTGAAATACAGGTGAGGTCCCTGAAGATGATGCAAGCAAATGTCATCTTTGAAAAGAGGTGGAAAGAAGTTCCAGGCAACTACCAACAGGTCAGCTTGACTCTAATGCCAGGAAAGTTTCTAGAACAGATCATTAGACACTCAACCAGCACGGGGGTCTCTTAAAAACAAGCCATTTAATACGGATCCCACCTCTTTTTTCAGTAGAGGGGAGAGCTGTGAGTATAGCATGACTTGACCTTAGCAAGGCTTTTACCTGGTGAAATTATTGTGGCCAAGACGGTAAAACACAGGCTAGAGGATGCTACTGTTGGTTGAGTTTTTAGTTGGTTGACAGGCAATTCCCGAAGAGGGCTTCCGACTGGTTCCCTGTCATCCTGAAGAAAAGATCCCTTCCACCTCGACTTCTGTGACTAAAGGTGACAGAACAGCCCCAGCCTCAATCTAGTAAGGAGGTTTGGTGGAAAACCCTTGAGGTTTTCACACAGCCACTTGACATGTTAAGCTTTAGAACAATTCAGACTTTAACAGCATTAGCAGGCATCTTTGCTGTTAATGCTTTTGAAGTGTGTAAAGCCACACTACCCCTTTCTCATCAAGTGCCGTAGGAGAGGAGGAAAAAAGAACAGAAGTAAATTTGTCTCCCTTCTCATAGGAGGGCATGAACCTGCCAAAGTGCTTAAAAAGCAAATTCTAATGTGTTGGAGGGTCTAATTTTGCCTGCCTCCCTTGACATAAGAGGAGTCCTACTGGATCAGGCCAAGAGCCCATCTGGTCCAGCTTTCTGTATCTCACACTGGCCCCACCACATGCCCCTGGGAGCACACGAGACAACAAGATACCTGTCTCGCGATACCCCTCCCTTGCATCTGGCATTTTGATCCACCTGAGAAAACTGGAAGTGGCTGAAGTACATGTCTGGCTTTAAAAACTTTGCTTGTTACACCTGAGAAGGGGGTGATGGGTGTGATATGAAGGTAAAACTCTTGGTCTGGACACTCCCCTGAGTGCAGTTATCGTTTTTTACATGAAGAGCTCCAGGACGCATTAAAATGCTTCGTGGTGGTCCCCTGTGTGGAGCTATTTATTTATTTACTTATTTATTTACTTATTTAATCACTCTACCACCCCATTGGTGCAATGTACTATTTTGGTCAGTTTACGACAATAAATAAAACATATACTAATAAAACTGCAACTAACCCTAAGAAATTAAAACATTTGACAGAATAAAACGAATGGCCCCAGAGGCAATTGCCTCTCTAGTAGCAGGACAAGAGGCGTAAAACCCGACGGGGTCATTATGTGGAAGGCCTCCCTGAAAAGCAGCGTTTTACGTGGCCTTGTGAGCGTTCCCAGGGAGGGGGCCGGGCGTAAGCTGCACCAGGAGCCGGCTCTACACAGTCGGTGCCGTGCATTGCAGCCTCTGCATTGGACCAGCCTTTCAGTGTGTTAGAACTGCACTTTTTTATTATTATTTTTGACTCTTTCTGGCCCATCAAGAGGTGACTAAGATGGGCTGAAGTGGAGGGAAGAAGAATTAGGATCAGGCCTGTATATGAGAGGTGGCTGCCAAGCTCTCAGATGCCCCTTTCAGCGACCTGCTTCAGGGCAAGCGTGGCGCCTGCCTCCATGTGGCCTGCTCTCCACACAAGCAACCCGAGTGTGAACCTTGGGCCTTCTGTCTGAATGGCCCCCAGAGTGGCTACATCTCAGGCCAGGGTTTCAGTGCCTTCCTTTTGATGGGCGTTTTGTCTCCACAGGGGTTCATGTCAGGTCAAGGGCTGCTTCTTGCAAGAACTGTCAAACCCGGATTCCCAGCAATCGAAGCATTTCCGGAGCAAAAAAGAAGAGTTGGCACAGAAGCTGTATGCTTTTTATAACTCGTCTGTGTTTGAGCAAAAGGTATCCTGTTCACCTGGGGTTTTTGTTTTTTTTCCCAGGATTACTGCTAGAAAGAGGCTGACGGATCTGGGCTTTCTTTCCCAAGCTAGCCATTTTGCAGTTAGCCAGAATTCCCGTTTCCTTCTTTGAATCCTGAGGGTCGTAGAGGGAGCCCCGTGAAGGGAGCTCCGTGCGCTCCCTAACGGCACTTCCACCCGGTTTCTTGGAAATACACCAGCACAGCAGGGCTTGGGAGAGCCACTGGGTTGTTTGTTTTCCTTCCGCAGAGGAGAGGCGCCTTCTCTCCCACGAGCTGTTTTTTTCACCAGCAGGTTAGAGAGGGCTGTTTACCCTTGGGAAGTCGGTTTATGGAACCTGCAGTCTGAGCAGCACTTCCGATTTCTGTCTCCCAGGAGCAGCTGGAGATAGGATTTCTTCTGTGTTGCCTGTTACGGGTGGTCGAGGTGTGAGAGCTGCCCCTGGGCATGCTTTACTATGGCAAGGTCAGAAGTATGAGAGGAGAGCCTTTTTCTTACGTTCTCTCTTTCCAAGTGAACTCTCAGAGGTATCTGTGCATAAAAGAAGCTGCTGATGGAAAGAGTATTTTAATGCCAAAACTGATTTGCTCAGTCATGTACAAGAGTAACTGAGAGCACTCTTGTTGCCTGTCGGTTTAGAAGCTAAGCAAAAGAGAGCGGATGGTCCCAGCTCCTCTGTGGAGCTGTACAGGATGAGGGCGATGCACCACTAGCATCCCGTCCCCCACTCCCACCCCCTGCCTCTGGTTTCTTGGGCAAGTAGAATCTGTAGGTGCCTTCCCTGCTCCCAGGCAGCAAGGACAAAGACTTGGGAGCGTGTAGAAAGGTGGCCGGTCAGCGCTTTCCTCCCCAGTAGGAGGTTTTAGCTACAGCTCAACAGCTGCAGTGGCCACAGCTGTGCTAGAACTCTAGGAGGCTGGTTTCTCTTGCCTTTTGCCTCCTGTTTTCTCATTGGAAGGAAACTAAGCATCTGGTCACATACACCTTGCTATTCCTTTCAGTTGCCAGAGCAAATGGAGATCCTCTGGAATAAGAAGATGCAGAAGACAGCAGGGTGCTGTGTAACAGGCCAGCTGAAGGGTCCTGAGGGGCAGCGCTATGCGCGGATCATGTTGTCGGAGAAAGTCTGTGATTCTCCAGGTAAGTGGGGGAAAGGCTTGCGCATTTCCAGTATAGGTTCTGGAAATGCCTTTATCATCATCATCATCATCATCATCCGTGAACTGCAGAGCTCAAAGAGACCCTATGGATCATAGAGTCCAGCCCCTGTTAACGAGGCATGGGAGGAAATCAAACTCAACCTCTAGTTCCACATATAGCATAAAGAGTTAATGCACATTTGTCGTTTAAAAAAATCATGCCAGTTTTGGATAGCACTGCTTGTCATGTTCAGTGTGACCGCCATGACCCCCTTATGTACCAGGTTTGAAAAAGGAGTTTAATAATGTCTTATATGTCCCCAATCTGGAATGTAGTATCCTCAGTATTTCCAGGTTAACAAAAGAAGGATATACAGTAATGTTTGAGAATAACATGTGTATTATAAAGAGAGGAAATGATTGTATGTACTGAATGATAACAAAGCAGCTAATGTGGTAAGGAATGTGCCAGATCATGATAAGTGTGTGCATCTATTGCATAGGAGGCTTGGGCATGCAAGTTTTAAAGTAATACAGAAAATGGAAAGCTTTGCCAAGGGGGCAGAAGTGAAAGCATGTAAGAATTACCTAGACTGTGACATTTGTAAATTAGCGAAGTCTAAGGTTTGTAAGATTCCTAAAGAAAGGACAAAACAAACACAGAGAGCGTTTGAGCTTGTACACGCAGATGTTATAGGTCCTCTGCTGCCATCTATGGGTGGTTCGCGATATGTTTTGACAATAGTCGATGATCATACCCGTTACAGTTATTGCTTTGTGATGAAAAATAAGTCAAAGGTGTATAAACGTTTCAGAAATTGGACCTGGATTAATCTCCCATCTTTGAAATTGGATCGATAAAGGTTTTTTTGTTTTGTTTTTGATTTAGAAGATGTTGGCCAGATTTCTCTTGACTGTTCTTTGCAGCTATGATCTTCCTTTGCTAAACTTCCTGGCAAAATAGCAGATATCGGTGCTCTTCAAAGCCCTGCACGGTGTTATGCCAGCACATGTTTTGTTTGTTATGTACCGTTGAGTCATCTGTAACATAGTAACCCTATGAATGACTTCCAAAATGCCTTGCCATTAACAGCTCTGCTCCACTCTTGCAAACTCACAACTTTGTGGCCACCGTATAGTTGGTCCTCCTATTTTCATTGGAGCATAGACTTGCGTGCTGGTTATGCTAGTGGTTTTTGTGAGAAAGCTAATTGAAATGATTTGGACAGACATTTCATTAGCGCCCCTAATGTGTTGTAATGCGTCTTGGTTTCTCCTGATTTTGTCGTTCCTGACATAAAACCATTTGTAATTACAGTATCTGACTGTGTGACTGAAATCCTGTTGCTTACCATAATGTGTCAAACTCTTGTAGTCTAGTTGAATAAATGAGAATTTGGTGAGTCAACTCTTGCATATGTTCAGTTGATTTATATGGGATTACAGCAGTAGAAGGGGACGTGGTGGCGCTGTGGGTTAAACCGCAGAAGCCTCTGTGCTACAGAGTCAGAAGACCAGCAGTCGTAAGATCGAATCCACGCAATGGAGTGAGCTCCCGTCACTTGTCCCAGCTCCCGCCAACCTAGCCGTTCGAAAGCATGTAAATGCGAGTAAATAAATAGGGACCACCTCAGTGGGAAGGTAACGGCGTTCCATGTCTAGTTGCGTTGCCACGTGACCATGGAAAACTGTCTTCAGACAAACTCTGGCTCTACAGCTTGGAGACGGGGATGAGCACCGTGCCCTAGAGTCAGACACGACTGGACTAAATGTCAAGGGGAACCTTTACCTTACAGCAGCAGAACCCTGTCTTAAAGCTGTTTCTACAACCACCTTGATTTGGTGGTGGCATCTGACCTAGATGCCTTTAAAGGGGGATTGGACAGATTTCTGGAGGAAAAGTCCATTGCAGGTTACAAGCCATGATGGGGATGTATAATATCCAGTCTTAGCAGGAAGGTATCTCAAAATACCAGATGCAGGGGAGGGCTATCAGGAGACGGCTATCTAGTTGTCTTGTGTGGGGCCACTGTGAGATACAGGAAGCTGGACTAGACGGGCCCTTGGCCTGATCCAGCACAGGGCTCTTCTTATGTTCCTGTGTTCCAAAAAGGAAATTCTAAAGGCAAAACTATAAACCATTCCAAGAAGAAAAAAAGAAGACATTGAAAAAGAGGGTTGTGACTCCACAAAAAGCTCAGAAAATGTAACAGGACACATATGGAAGGAAGACCAGACCACAAAGAAAGAGTACAGACAGGCAGCAAAGCCTTGCAAAAGCTGAGAATGAGCTCATGCTGAAAACAAAGGTCAGCTTTTGCAAGGCTTTGCTACCTGTTTGTTTTGTACTGATAAAACTAAAAACAACAAAAGCATTCTTCAAATATTTACATGACAAAAGACAGAGAAAGCTCACTTTTTTCTTCAGTTCAGTCTTCTCCCAAAAGACAGTTTATGCAAATGTAAAATGTAAAGGGAGGGGACAGGATTGCAGTTTGAGATGGATAGTCAAATAGTCAAGGAACACAGTACTGTATCTTATTACTTTGAGCAAGTTCAAATTTCCATAGCCCAGTGAAATGCATCTGAGAGCATCAAAGCAACTGGCTGAAGAACTCTGAGAACCATAGACTCTTATTTTATTGAAATCAAGGAGGACGGGTGCCATATGACTGGACGAAGACTAACATGTTCTAGTCTCCAGAAAGGACAAAAAGGAGGAAACAGGGAACTACAAACCAATCAGCCTGACATCAATCTCAGGAAAAAAATTGAGCAGATTATAAAGCAGCCGTTCCCCAAGCGCCTTGAAAAATAATGCTGTGATAACCAGAAGTCAATAGGGGTTGGTCAAAAAACAAATCCCAACAGGCTAATCTGCTTTCATTTTTTAAAAATCAGGTAACCTCCCCGTGAGATGGTGGGAATGCTGTAGGTGTAATATATCTTGACTTCAGAAAAGCTTTTGACAAAGTGCCCCGTTGTATTCTGATTAGCAAGATAAGGAGGTGTGGGCTTTTATAGAGCAAGCTTCTGGCAGGCACACAGTTGATTACAGAATTGTAGGCAGAGAGGGTTTGTCAACAGCTCTTTCTTTGTCAAACCGGGAAGAGTTAACAAGTGGGGTATCACAAAAGCCTGGTGCTCTTCAACCTTTTTATTAATGACTAGGAGGAGGTTGGGCAGGGAATGCTTATCAGAGTTGTGGATGACACAAAACTGGAATAGCTAATACTCTGGAAAACAGAAAAAATTTTTCCCCAAGATCTTGATATTTACTTTTTTAATTTATAGGCCGCCCTTCTCCCAATAAGGGGAACCAAGGCAGCTCACAATATTAAAAAGAATAAGAACACAATAAGTTAAGCATTAAAAATGACTAAACTATAAACTACAATTGAATAATTAAAAGCATGTAAACATTAAATAGGCTGAAGTATGGGGCTGAAAACAGCAGGATGAAATTTAGCAGGGATAAATGCCAAGTTCTACATAAAAAACCCAAATGCACAGGTACAAGATGGGTAATCTTTGACTCATTAATAGTACAAGTGAGAAAATTTTTGAAATTGTCATAGAACACAATATGAAACTTAAATGCAATGTGATTGCATAAAAAGGCAAGTGCTATTTTAGGCTGCATTGGTAGAAGTATATTCCCCAAATCCCATGAAGGACTATCTCACCTCTATTCATCAGTAATTAGGCCTCATCTTGAGTCCTGTGTCCAGTTCTGGACACCACACTTCAAGAAGGATGCTGACAAACTGGAACCAGTTCAGGGGAGGACAACAAGGATGATCAGAGGACTGGAAACCAAGCTATAAGGCTGAAAGAACCAGGCATGTTTAGCTTTGAATACTGAGGGGAGATAGTATAGTATTCTTCAAATACTTGAAGGCAGTCCTACAGAGAAGGGGCAGGATCTGTTCTCATGTGGAAAATTTCCTGACTATCAGAGCAGTACAACAAAGAAACCAGTTACCTCGGGAGGTGGTGAGCACTCCAACGCTGGAGGCATTAAAGAGAAAATTAGAGAACCATATTTCAAATATACTTTGATTTGGATTTATGCATTGAGCAGAGGGTTGGCCTTGATGGCCTTATAGGGCCCTTCCAACCCCATTATTTTATGGTTCTATGATCTTACCCCAGGCTGTTGCCATTAGTAGCAAAAGCTGTTGAAGAGCCCTTCATTTCTTTTTCTTCTTCTTCTTAGAAAAAATTGTTCTGTCCTCTTCCCCCAATGCATATGCCATATTCTGGGCAGCTGTACATTGTGAAGAGACCAGATGGCATATTGCAAAGCAGAACTGTGATGTTGTGCATGTGATCCGCCCACCACAGTTGCTATTGCATCTGCTCTCCCAAATGTTTCTAGACTCTGCTTACATATAGAAGCACATAGATCTTTTTTCTGGGCTCCGAATATGTCTCCTGTTTTGTCTCTTGCTTAGATCGCCTGAGGGACACGCTGATCCATGAACTGTGCCATGCAGCTGCCTGGCTCATCCATGGCATTCGAGATGGGCATGGGCGATTTTGGAACCTATATGCAAAGAAGTCTGTCCTGATTCACCCAGAACTCCCCATGGTTTCGCGCTGCCACAACTATGAGATAAAATACAAGTTTATCTATGAGTGTTCTGAGTGCAAGAATACGTAAGTGGTTGAGTTCTCCTGCTTGTGACTTAGCATATACATTCCTTGCAAGGGGTGTTTCAGTGGCCTTTCATGGGTGCGGGACATATTATTGATTGGCTTGCAACTGTGACAAACCCAGACCTACTGGGATCTGCCACACAGTTACACTAAGCTGCCACCAACCATTCCCTATAAGAAGTCACACAGACCAGGGATGGATTTTCAAACAATAAAAAGAATAAGGTTTATTTAAATACACACAGGGAAAAATAAAACAATCAGGTGAATAAGATAAAGTAACGTGGCTTAGTTTCACTCATACATGCACACAGTTTGGTTCACACAGAACCCTTAACTTGAAGCACAGACCCTGAACCTATCAGTTCTGGCTAACCAACAGACACCTGAACCTATCAGGTTGGTACTCTGACACACAGTAGTACCCTGTCTGACACACAGACTCCCACACCAGCTTCTTCTTCCCAGCTGCTGCTTCGTCACATCCCAGCGTCTCCTAACTTCTCCACACACGCTTCACATATATATA